ATCTTTTGCACTGTCTCTACTTTCCTACATACAAAGATGTTTTCCTAATTTCCATCAGTCTTACTTACATTTAGGAAAATTTTAACTCTTAGGAGCCTTAGTATCCAGTGAAAATTGAGTAATAACCAATTGTGAACTATCTGTTACACTAGATTTCTTTAGATATGAAATTCATGAATACATTTCACAATTCTTAAAAACATGTTTTCTATAGTGTGATCTTTCAAGAAGCTTTCTATAGTGTAATCTTTTCAATAATGTATTGAAAAAATACATTTGAAAGTATTTCAAAATACTTTTTTAAATTATGTTGATCGAGACCTAAGTATCCTGTTTTTCTGCAACAAGAAGACAACAACACAAACCTACACTCAGTAATCAATGCTTTGGTATTTTATCTTATTTGGAAAAGATTTAGATATCTAGTGAATTCAATCCAATTTATCATTTAACTTAGCAAAACTTCAAAGTTTCGGGTTGCCAAAAATTCTGAAAGCTATTTAAACATTTTACCTATAAACCTTTTTATTTATTCAACCTACTTGTTCTTAACAATTACTCATGAAAACTCTTATGAGACAGGGAAAATTAACCAACATTTTAAGTTATCTTTTTGCTGACAAATTGTAAGAAATCACATGAGCTTATTTGACCTTTAGTAAACCTTGGTAAAATAAAAGCATTACATTCAATGCTGATAAAGCTGAAGACATGTCTCTCTTATTTAAACTAAAAACTTAAATTAGCTTTAATATAGATATTGCACCAGTGTCCATTAAAAGTCAATTCATTTTTTCCCCCACTGTCCATTTTATCTGAGGCACCTGTGAGGAAATTTGAAGTGGGTGGTTTAAGTCCAAGGGGTTTCCTGGTTCAATTCATGTTGATTTAGAAGGTATTCCAGTTTGAACCTCATAAGAAGGTGGCCCTAGGGCCTAACATCTTGGGGTGCTCTTTACTTCTTGGTAGTGAAAATAGGAGAAGCAGGAGACAATGGCACCAGAGGCACAGAGGATGATATAGAAGCCAGTTATGTAAGTTGTGCCCATGGTGGGCAGGAGGAAGAAGAGGTGGAAAACCCTTTTTCCTATGGCCATCCATCTTACAGAAGGTACATTTATGGGGGCCCAACCTTTTGTAAGCTGGGAGCTCTAGACTGGTTTTGCCAGACTCCTGCAGGCTTCTGTATTGGGTGATCCTGGGGTGGCAGCGTTCCTGATGCCATGGCTGAGAGCTAGGCATGCTGCCTAGACAGACTTCTCCTCGTCTGCCCTGTCTCTATTAATTAAAGACAGCAAAAGCTATATTCAAAAATTGGTTCATAGGAGTTTGGGGTCCCGAAGTTGTCTTCTGTAATTTTCTCCTAGTATCTGCTGCAGAATGTAGGATAAAATACACAGTCAACAATGACTGTCCTTCTGGAGAATTGGGATCTGTATTAGTATATTTCTGGAAAGCTTCCACTAATTTACCTTGAAAGAAATCTGGATTTTCATCCTTTCCTTGAGTTAATTCTCTTACTTTATCAAAATTAACTGGCTTGACTATGCATCATTTTATTCCCTCCTCTACGGTGCAGTAACGAGACAATAAGATTTTTAGGTCTCTCCAAATCACACCAAATGTCAAAGTCAGTTTAATTTCAGGTCCCACTGTTGATTTAGGAATGTGGGCCACAGAAACTTTACATTGTCCTTTTAATCTAGGGTTCTGATAAAGGGCCATAAAGGCCAAAACATGAGGCACTTCATAACATTTCCCTTCCTTCTTACAATATAAATCAATCTGTAAAATGGTGTTAAAATTCACAGTCCCATTTGTGGACCAGGTTTCTTGGTCCCCAAGTGATATTGAGGCCAAGCCTTATTATAATAGAATATTAGTTTCTTCCTCTTCAATTTCTCCAGCTTAAATTGTGCCCAATTATGTAGCAAACATTCTAATAGGGAAACTGCTGCCATGCTCACTGTTGCCCCCATTCTGGCCTGCAATACAAATGAGCAGAGGAATGGAGATCTATCAAGCCTGAGTATGGGATTTGGCAAAGCAAATGCTTTAAAAGGCATTTAAGCTAGGGTTACAAGATGAGGGGGTCTGCATGTTAACATACAGAACAAACATAACAAAATGGCATCTATTTTGTCACAGCATTATATGCCAATTGTATTATCTTTGGTAAAAGTTCAGGCTTCTGGTTTAAAAGAGAGAATCCGAGAAAAAATGAAAACAAACAAACAAAACGGTACTGGAATGCCAGAGTTCTAGGGCAGAGTATGAGGTTAGGGGCTGTTGAGGTTCTAGCCATGCAAGCTGAATATAAATGATGGTGTTTCCAAGAAACAAAAAGGGAAGATAATCTCTTACGGATATGGAAGCCCACTGTGGTTGAATCCTATGATAATTATATAAGACTATAAATTTCTACAGACAATATAATTTTCAGTGTTTTTGTAAGCAATGGTGGAGTAGACAGCTTTAAAGCGCAAAAATGTTAACGTTCAGAGAGCAGACAAAGCAATGTTACAGAGCCATGCATAGTAAGGGGATGATGTATACAAAATATAAAAACAACATTAGGTATAAATTCCTTCTCTAGCATTTGACAATTCCAGCCTGATTCTTGTCTCCTCCCCCATAAGCCTAAAACTGGTACAACCCAGGGCAGAGGAATGATTCTTTATTTCTGAGCCTTGATCCTTAACAATGGGATTGGCCAGCTATCCCCAAAGCAATCCCAGCACCCCAGAACTGCTAACAGGAGTGTCTAACTGTCCAGTAGTGGACAAAAAGCAAAGAAAGAGAGAGAGAGTCTGAGTTATTCTGGGGAAAGAAAGTGGGGATGGAATGTGGTGCTTGTCGGGAGAATTTGCCCAGCATCATTAATGGGCCAATCTACCCCTCTTATGTTTCTCAGTTTCTCCCAGCAGCAGTAGGGACTTAGCACTGGTTTATCAATACTCATGTGTGCATCTCTAAGCGAGCCAGAAATTAATTATCATGGAGACAATTTTTCTCTAGGATGACTGCAATTCGGGACTAATGACTTCCTACACTTCCTTATTCTTTGTTGCCTAAGAACACCTTTCAGTGGGAAGAAACAAGTGTCCCTTTTCTCCGGAGCTGAGTGACTCAATCTTTCATGCCAACTAACAGCTTTGTTGTTTGGAAGCCAAAGTAAAAAGAATTCTCAGTTAAAGTGAAAGTAAGCCTCAGAGTCAGTGGAAGTAGCACAAAGGACAGTGGGGAACAACCTCCAGCCTGCCACCTGTGTCACCAGCCAGAGAAGGTATAGAGCAAGCCCTGGGGCTAACAGGCCTACTTTGGGAATTCCTCAGAGTTGGGGGCAGGGAAGAGGAAGAAGCCACAGGGGTGCTGAAGCAATTAGGAGCAGGAAGATAGGTGTAAAACAGGTTACCAGACTGGGTTTTCCAGGTTTCCTTCCTCCCGTAAGGAGAGACCAGTTTTACAGAAAAGCACCAATACAGGAATTATGTCAGCATTAAACCAACTCTACCCCCTCCCCAGGCCAAATTGTGCTATGCAGACTCAGTTTTGGGATATTACTGCTCCTCTCCGGGGTCCTTTCCTAATCACCAAGATGATTCCAGCAGGCCAGGCCCCAGGACCCATACAGGGTCCCACAGTAACAGCTCAGAGGGTCCTTGGCTCTGCACAGAATGGAAATGAAACATGAGTCAGCAGGAAGTAAAAGCAACCTTTATTGGAGAGAGAGAGTGCATATAAGAGATGGAGTGAGCCCAAGGTTGAAGAGGTTGCTGCCTATGCTCTTCTCTAGGATTTTGATGGATTCCTGCCTTACATTGAGGTTTTTCATCAATTTTAAATCTATTTTTGTGTATGATGTAAGGAAATGGTCTAGTTTCATTCTTCTGCATGTGGCTGTCCAATTTTCCCAGCACCTTTTGTTGAAGAGACTGTCTTTTTTCCATTGGATATTTTTCCTGCTTTGTCAAAGATTAGTTGACCATAGATTTGAGGGTCCATTTCTGAATTCTCTATTCTCTTCCATTGATCTGTGTGTCTGTTTTTGTGCCAGTGCCATACTGTCTTGATGATTACAACTTTGAAATACAACTTGAAGTCCAAAATTGTGATGCCACCAGCTTTGGTTTTCTTTTTCAATATTCCTTTGGCTATTTGGGGTCTTTTCTTGTTCCATACAAATTTTAGGATTGTTCCAGCTTTGTGAAAATTGCTGGTGGTATTTTGATAAGGATTGCATTAAATATGTAGATTCCTCTAGGTAGCATAGACATCTTAACAGTATTTGTTCTTCTACTTCATTAGCATGGAATGCTTGTCCATTATTTTCTGTCATTTTCAATTTCTTTCATCATTGTTTTATAGTTTACAGAGTACAGGTGCCTTACCTGTTTATGTTTATTCCTAGGTTTCATGGTTTTACTACAATTGCAAATAGGACCAGTTCCTTAATTTCTCTTTCTTCTGCTTTATTATTGGTGCATAAAAATGCAGTAGATCTCTGTACATTGATTTTGTGTCCTGAGACTTTACTGAATTCGTGTATCTGTTCTGGTGATTTTTTGACAGTCTTTGGGTTTTTTTTTTTTTAAGCCAATAAATTTTTATTTAAGGAGTTTTTACATGTGATTCCTTCCACTGCCAGTCACTGCTCATCACCATAGTTCCTCCAAAGTTAGAATCATAATCTTCAAAACAGCCCTTTTAAAAAGAACTTGATCAATCCACAGTTGTCACCGTCACTCCAGAGTTCTTTCAACTGGGTTTCTTGCATCTCCATTTGAATACGGACATACTTTAAGAACTCCCCACCTGTTTAGGGTCTGAGTGTGGATCTGCCTGATTTTCAATTTCAAACACCCTCTAAATGTGAATGAGTTCAAATCATATTCACCCCTAAACTACCACCCTAGAACAGTACAGATTGTTGGGATACACCAATACCTAAAGCGTAAGATGTACCTTTAAGTCCAGACATTGTGTTCAAGTGAAAAGCCTTAACATTCATATTCCCATCTCTTTTCAGGCCATTCTATCCTCTGTCCAATGTTTTTAGACTTTGATTCTCTCTTTTTAGACAAAGCAGCTTCTTCAGTACATTCTTCTTGTTCTAAATACACATTCTTCATCTTTGGTACTTGAGAACTTATAATGAAATCATTTTGGTCCACCAATTTGATATCACATTCGTCATTTTGGTCAAGATTTGTTGCAGACCCATCCTCTGTTTCTGACTCTTCAATAGGCGAGAGAGCTCCATCATCATCCAAGTATTTGTATCTATGACTGTCAAAATCTTCTTTTTCTAAATCTTCACCAACATTAATTTGTTTCAAGGATTCCTTGAGGTAGTATTTATACTTCAGTTTTTCAAGGTAGTTGAAAAATCCTCTTGCCACTGCTTGCTCAAAGGTTAAAATCTTTCTCCAAGGTAATGGTTTTCTTGCATTCTCAGATTCTAAAAATGGGAACCCAGATCCTTTGTCTTGAACTTGTTTCTTATTTATTTGGGAAAGTCTACTGTTTTTTCTCCCTTTTGGTCTTCCTCTTGGTCTTCCTGTTGGTTTGTATTTCTTCTTTTTACGTTTTCTTTTTTTGAATCTCTCAAAAATAGCTTTTAAAGTCAATGGTCTTGGTTTGAAAAATGAGTCACTAGATGAATCCCTTGCTTGAGCAACTTCAGGTGAATGAACAAACTTTCTAGTATGGTTTCTTTGCATCCTTTTAGGTTAGTAAGGGACACACTGAGTTTTAAATAAGCTGCTACCAGAAGAGTTATCACTTTCACTGTCAATTTCCACAGCTGAATTAGATGCCATTATAGAGTTGAGAAAATTCATTCCCATTACATATTCTCCCAAGTCCTTCTCCAAATTGTTTATTCACCACTTGTAATTTGCTTCAGAATTCTGACAATTCAGTAAACGTGATGTAGTTTCTCTGAACAATGCCAACAGAGCTCCACAACCTCGCGGAATGAAAGGAGTCTTTGGGTTTTTTGAAGAGAGTATCATATTATCTGTGAATAGTGAATGTTTGACTTCTTCCTTGCCAATTTGGATGCCTTTTATTTCTTTTTGTTGTCTGATTGCTGCATTTAGGACTTCCAGTACTATGTTAAATAGCAATGGTAAGAGTAGACACCCATGTCTTGGTTCCTGACATTAAGGGAAAAACTCTCAGTTTTTTCTCATTGAGGATGATATTAGCTGTGGGTTTTTTGTACACTGCATTTATGATATTGAGGTATGTTTCCTCAATCCCTACTTTGTTGAGGGTTTTTATCAGGAATATATGCTGTATTTTGTCAAATGCTTTTTCTGCATCTATTGAGAGGATCATATGGTTCTTATCCTTTCTTTTATTAATGTGGTTTATCACTTGGACTGATTTGCAAATATTGAACTACCCTTGCAGCCCAGGAATAAATCCCACTTGAGCATTGTGAATAATTCTTTTAGTGTAGTGTTGGATTTGACTTGCTAGACTTGTTGAGAATTTTTGCATCCATGTTCATTAGGGTTATTGGCCTATAGTTCTCTTTTTTAGTTGTGTCTTGGTTTTGGAATCAAGGTACTATTGGCTTCATAGAATGAATTTGGATGTTCTCCTCCCATTTCTACTTTTTGGAATAGTTTGAGGATAGGTATTAATTCTTCTTTAAATGTTTGGTAGAATTTTTCTGGGAATCCATCAGGTCCTGGACTTTTGTATATTTATATATTTTTGATTACTGATTCAATTTCTTTGCTGTTCATTGGTCTGCTCAAGTTTTCTATTTCTTCCTGTTTTGGTTTTGGTAGTTTATATCTTTTTAGGAATTTATCCACTTTTTCCAGATTGCTCAAGTTTTTGGTATATAACTTTTCATCTTATTTCCCTATAATTGTTTATATTTCTGTGGTATTGGTTGTGATCTCTACTCTCTTATTCATGATTTTATTTATTTGTGTTTTTTCTCTTTTCTTTCCGATATGTCTGGCTATGGGTTTATTCATTTTATTAATTTTTTTTCAAAGAACTAGCTCCTAGTTTCGTCGATCTCTTCTAGTAGGTTTTTGTTATTGTTGTTTGTTTGTTTGTTTCTGTATCATTTGTTTCTCCTGTAATCTTTATTAATTTCCCTTCTGCTGGCTTCAAGTTTCATCTGTTGTTCCTTTGCTAGCTCCTGTAGGTGTAAAGTTATGTTTTTCATTAGAGATTTTTCTTGCTTCTTGCGGTAGGCCTATATTGCTATATATTTCTCTCTTAAGACTGATTTTGCTGCATCCCAAAGTTTTTGGACTGTGGTGTTTTCCTTATCATTTGTTTCCATGTATTTTTTCCAAGCTTTTTTTTTTTTATTCCTTCTTTAATTTCCTGATTGTCCCATTCATTGTTTAGTAGGATGTTCTTTTTGTTTTATTTTTTTAAAGATTTTTATTTATTTGTCAGAAAGAAAAGAGAGAGTGCAAGCAGTGGGGAGAGGCAGAGGGAGAAGAAGGCTCCTGGCTAAACAAGGAGCCCAATGCAGGACTCAATCCCAGGACCCTGGGATCATGACCTGAGCTGAAGGCAGACACTAAACTGACTGAACCACCCAGACATCCCACTAGGATGTTCTTTAATCTCCAGCATTTATGGGCTTTCTGATTTTTTTCTTATAGTTAACTTCACATTTCATAGAATTGTGGTTGGAAAATATTCTTGATATGATCTCAGTTTTTGTATTTGTTGAGGACTGATTTGTGACCCACTATGTGATCTATTCTGGAGAATTTCCCAAATGCACTAAAAAAGAATGTGTATTCTGCTGCTTTAGAATGAAATGCTCTGAATATATCTTTTAAGCCCATCTGGTCCAGTTAGCCATTCAGAGCCATTGTTTCTTATCGATTCTCTACTTAGAGGATGTGTCCATTTATGTGAGTGGGGTATTAAATTCCCCTACTATTATTCTGTTATTTTCAATGAGTTTCTTTATGCTTGTTATTGTAGTAAACATTTGGATACTCCCAAGGTGGAGGCATCATTATTTACAATTGTTAGGTATTCTTGTTAGATAGCCCTCCTTACTATACTACAGTGCCCTTTCTTTATCTTCTATTACTGTTTTTGGCTTAAAAATCTAGTTTTTCTGATACAAATATGGGTACTCTAGCTTCTTTTTGCATCCAATAGCATGATAAGTATTTCTTTATTGCCTCACTTTCAATCTGCTGTTTTTTTCAAGAATAATAGACATTCAAGTCTAAAATAATCTCTTGTAGGTAGCATATAGATGGGTCTTATTTTTTCTTTTATCCATTCTGATACCCTATGTCTTTTGATTGGAGTGTTTAGTTCATTTACATTCAGAGCATTTATTGGTAGATATGAACTTAGTACCATTTTATGACTTTTCCCCCATAGTTTCTGGAGATTTTCTCAGATCTTACTTTTCCTTGTCACTTTTGGTCTTTCCTTTGCATTCAAAGAATTCCCTTTAATATTTCTAGCATAGGTAGTTTATTGCTAACCAACTCCATTAGTTTTTGTCTGGGAAACTATGTCTCTTTCTCTCTCTCTCTCTCTCTCTCTCTTTTAAGTAGGTTTCACACCCAGTGTATAGTCTAACACAGGACTTGCACTCACAGCCCTGAGATCAAGACCTGAGCTAATATTAAGAGTCAAACACTTGACTGGCTGAACCACCCAGGTGCCCCTCTTTATCTCTCCTTCTATTCCAAATGATTTCTTTGCTGGAGAGAACACTCTTGGCTACATCTTTTTTCCCCCATTTAACTCATGCCCCTCCCTTCTGGTCTGCCAGGCTTCTGTGGAGAGATATTCTGCTAACCTCATTTGTCTTCCCTTGTAGGGTAGGGACTTCTTTTGTCTCATTGCTTTTTGTATTATTTCTTTATCTTTATAGTTGGCAAATTTAATTGTGATATTTCTCGGTGTTGGCCTGCTTTTCTTGGTTTTGATGGGGGTTTTCTGTGCCCCATGGATTTGGAGGTCTGTCACCTTTCCCAGATTAGAGAAGTTTTCAGCTATAATTTCCTGAAATATATCTTCTGCCTTCTTTTCCCTTTCTTCTTCTTCTGGGATACTTATGATACAAATATTATTATGCTTTGTGGAGTTGCTGAGTTCCCTAAGTCTACATTCATGATCTACTATTTTTATTTCCCTCTTCTATTCATCTTTGGTATTTTCCATATTTTTTCTTCTATATAACTTATTCATTCTTCTGCTTCTTCCATCCTTGTTATCATTACACCAGTCAGTTTTGAACCTCAATTATAGTATTTTTCATTTAAGTCTGAACAGTGTTTAAGTCTTCTGTCTCTGTGTTAAGGAACTCCCTGGTGTCTATGATTTTCTCAATTCCATTTCGTATCCTACAATTTTTGCTTTAAATTATGGATCAGGTGTATTACTTATATCTGTTTCAAAGAGATCCCTGGCTGTGATCTGTTTTCAGTTTCTCTTTTGGGATAAATTCCTCTGTCTTAGCATTTTGTCTGGGTCTCTGTCTTCTTCTGTGGGGGAGGAAAGCCTGTAACGTTTTCTGCTGCTGAGAGTGATAGCTTTATCCCTCAAAAAGTTACAAGTAGAGCTATCCTACAATAACACTACTAGGTAATCACCAAAAAGATACAAATAGTGGTCTGAAGGGGCACCTGCACCCCAATGCTTATAGCAGCAATCTCCACAATAGCCAAAATACAAAAAAAGTGCAGATGTCCATTCATAGATGGATGAATGGATAAAGAAGTGGTACACACACACACACACACACACACACACACACACACACAGGAATATTACTCAGCCATCAAAAAGCACCCCCAAATCTTATCATTTGCAATGATGTCGATAGAACTAGAGGGTGTTATGTTAAGTGAAATAATTCAATCAGAGAAAGACAATTATATAATTTCACTCATATGTGGAATTTAAGAAACAAAACAGAGGATCATAGGGGAAGGGAGAGAAAAATAACATAAGATGAAATCAGAGAAGAAGACAAACCATAAGTCACTCCTAACTATAGGAAACAAAATGAAGATTGCTGGAGAGAAAATGGTGTGGGATGTGGTAATTGAGTGATGGACATTAAGGAGGGCACTTGATGTAATGGGCACTGGGTTTTATATGCAACTGATGAATTCCTAAACTATACCTCTGAAACTAATAATATACTATATGTTAATTAATTGAATTTAAATAAGAAAAAACAGCCTTATAAAAAAGAGGTCATATACTGTTTGGGGCCTGGCACTTCTAAAGTGTCTCCAGTGCATACAGTGTGCACTATGCTGCTGTGTTTTGCCTGCTCTTTCCCTCGGATCAATCCTCTGCAGAATTTCTCCATGTCTCCAATGGGTAGTATTTGGATCTTGGCCAGAGTCTGGCAAGTTTTAATTAGGTGTGCTCTGATCTGCTTATTAAAAGAAACAATGCCATTTCCACCAGAGCTGAAGCTATGCAGAACTCTAGGATCAGTAGATGTGGTATATGAGAAGGGTTTGAGCTCATCTTCCAAGGGAGGTTCCAGGGTTCTGGTTTTCAGACACACTTACCAGAGAAAAGGAGCAACTTCAGAGTGCAAGGTGGTGGGGGCTTGGTGTAAGTGGTTCAAGATGCCACTGTTGTCACTGTGTTGCTTACTGAAGGTAGTTTATGCTAAGGGGTGAGGGAAAAAAATGGCATCAGTCCCTCCCCTCATCCTCTCATGCCTGCTGGTGTCTGGAAAGCCCTCCCAGAAGAATAACCATTCTTCGCTAGTGGGTCCCAGGTTTCCTTCCCATCCCTGCCTTCATGCTATGTCCAGGATGTCTGCCCACCCAGCAGCACAGTATGCCTGTGTTCTATCCCAGGCAGGTTGGCTGACATATAAAACTCAAAACTTTGGGGATGTGGCATGGCAGGGATCCATTTTATCCTCTGGGAAGGGACTTGCCACACTGGGATTGATGCAGATTTGTCCCAGAAGG